ATATGTATTATGTATATATAAATACACACACATGCATGTATATATTTAAGAAAAATATGTTGCGTTTATATATTAAATATATTTATATATGATATAAATTATATGAATATAAATATATACGTGTAAATATTTTCAAAATATATGCTGTGTGTGTGTGTATTTATATATACATAATAAACACACACAACACACACACACACACATATATATATATATATATATATATATATATATATACATATATACATATACATAATGTATTGTACACCAAAAATGATGATTGTGATGATGTATGTATGATGTGATGATGATGTATTGTACACCAAAAATGATGATTATGCAAATGGTAGTGTTTGCATTAGTATACCGCTAAATTTGGCTGCTGGCATTTCGAAATAAACCATACCGTTCAAAGTTTGCGGTCAGTAATAATATAATTTTTTTGAAAGAAAAAAGAAATGAATACTATATATAATATGATTTCTGAAGGATCATGTGAAACAGAAGACTGGAATAATAACTGCTGAAAATTCAGCTTTGACATCACAGGAATAAATTACATTTTAAAATATATTTAAAAAAGTAAAGTTATTTTAAATTGTAATAATATTTCACAATATTCCTGTTTACCATTTACTATATGCAGTCTTGTTGACCATAAGAGACTTCTTTCAGAAACATTAAAAAAAATCTTACCCGACCCTAAAACTTTGAACAATAGTGTATATAGACTACAATACTTAAGATATGCTGTGCATTACCTATTGTTGTAGTACTCGAGACTGATCTTAAAGACCATTTTTTGAAGGTCTTGTCATGGTTTTGACTGCATTTGTACTCGGTCTTGTCTTGGTCTCAGACTAAAAGGACTCTCTGGATTTTATTTCAAGACCGGTCAAGACCACAACTGCAGAGATATCACTAAATTGCTGGTGCATTGTTTTATTTATTTGTTAACATCCTTAATGTGATGTAAACTTCCTGCTTCAGACACAATCAATAATTTATTTCTAACTTGATTTCATTTGATCCTGTCAAAAATTTTGCAAAAAATTAATACAAATGTCCAAAAACCTAAAATCAGCAACGAAAACATTTCAAAACTAAACTGTTGTGCGTTTTTGAGCAACACACAGTGGTGATTTGTTACTTTGAATGAATCAGTTGCTTTGAATGAATCAGCTGAATAAATGATTCTGACACAAGTATTCAAAATGTTCTTTTTAAAAGATACTAAATAATATTTATGCAGTTGTCATTGTACCAATTCAGATGGAGCTTCTGTGCTACCTCTGCTGTGCAAAGATGAATTCTGTTGTTAGTGATTTTATTTTATTGGTAACAGCTCTATAAGGGCTTTTCACGCTTGAAATAGTTAACCCTGGGTCATTCTAAATCCTGGGTAAACGGAATCCTGGGTTATCTTGCTTCATGTTTCACATTGCTTATACTTTACCCAGGGTTAAAAGTTAATCCTGAAAAGATTGTTCCGTAAATCTGGATATTTCATATGATCTTTCAAGTGCTAGTTTGCTCTTGGTCTTGACTCGGTCTCACCCTGCCTTGGTCTTGTCTTGGTCTCAACCCCTCAAAGTCTTGGTCTTGTTTTGGTCTCATCACACTCTGGTCTTGGTCTCGATTTGGTCTCTTTTTAGGTGGTCTTGACTACAACCCTAGTATTAACGGATACTTTAACCTGCAGGTCCATCTGTGTCTCTGGTAGAGGAGAGTACATTGTTACCCCCACTGGCCATGCACAGTAAAGCTGAAAGTGTAGCCTCGGTCACCTCTCAATGCAGTTTCAGCAGCACCATCGTCCATGTGGGGGACAAGAAACCTCCTGAGTCAGGTGGGCAAGTGTGTGTGTGTATGAGGAATAAGAGAGGACACCAAAGACCCATAATACATCAAAGCAATCAAGTGTCTTTTTTGTTGTTGTGTCTATTTTTTGGGACCCTGGTTTCTTTATCTCATCCCCTCTTCTTGTTTTACCTCGATCCCACAGATATCGTAATGGAAGAAGCCCCGCCTGCTCCGAATGCTGCTCCTCCTGCCACTCAACTCCAAGCTCCTCCCACAACCATGCCCTCTCTGCCGCCTAGTGCTGCTCCTGATAGGGATGCAGGGAGAAGAGGAGGTCCAGGAGGAGCAGGGGCAGCTGGAGGATCCGGAGGAGGAGAAAGGTTGGGTCTCACGAAAGAGGTCCTGTCGGCTCACACACAGCAAGAGGAGCAGAACTTCATGTGCCACTTCAGAGACTTGAGCAAACTCCGAGTGTTTGACCCAACCTCAGCTTTGCGCCAACGAGCATCTGTACCCTTAGCAAGAGGTGAGGATGTGCATAAATAAAAAAAGAAACAAAGGCACAGGCAGCACTGCACAAAATGAATCTTTATGTGCACTACTGGTTAAAAGTTCGCAATAATTACGTTTTTTTTTTTTTTTTTGAAAGACGTCTTTTACACTTAACAAGTCTGAATTTATTTGATCAAAAAATGTTTTGCTGCTCAATATTTTTTTTTGTGGAAACCATGATACACTACCATTTAAAAGAGTGGGGTAAGAAAGATAGAAAAAGAATACTATATTCAGCAAGGACGCGTTAAATTGATAAAATGTGACAGAAATATTTTGTAACATTTTATGTCTTTACTATTTAAAAAAAATGCTCTTCATTGAAAAAAATGTATCACGATTTCCACAAATATTAAGCAGCAAAAAATGTTTTCAACATTGATAATAATGAGAACCATTATTAAAAATGGAGCTCCATTAAGCACCAAATCAGTATGTTGGAATGATGAATCATATGGAGACTAGTGCAATGTCTACTGAAATACAGCTTTGCCATTAAGAGTAAATTACATTTTAAAACATTCAGATGGAAAACAGCTATTTTAAATTGCAGTGATGTTTCACAATATTAAAGTTAGCACTGTATTTTTGGTCAAATAAATGCAGCCTTGACTTATTTCAAAAGCATAAAAGTTTGTGATTATTCCAAACTTTTGACCGGTGATGTATCTCTGTTGATTTTAGGTGTGCGCTGCTCTCGTGATTACCCGGCAGCAGGTAGTAGCGGGCGTAGACGTGGTCGAGGAGGCAAAAGACCAAAGCACCAGGAATCTGCAGAGCAAGTGCGGTCTCGTAGCCCAGCTGGCCCACAACGAGGCCTCTACCCTGGGGTTCCCGCTCTGGACAGGCCCTCTAATTCCTCCATACCCATGGGTCCTGCAGCCAGCTCCTCCTCCTGGCCTACCTCAGGGTCACAAGCTAGCGTTCCCTCGGTCCCGTACCCACCCAGCGTCCTTCCTTTATATCCCGTCTATCCCTCACTCGCCCATCCCATCTCAGACCCCAACATACAGACAGGACTACGCTTCCCCCTTCAGAACACGCAGATGGTACCTCCCATGGTCCACCCAATGATGGCGTTGGTATTACCCAACTACATGTTCCCACAGCCCAACATGGGCATGCCTCAGCCCTTCTACAGCCCAAACTCAGCTTTCCCTTTTCCCGCTCTCAACACGGTCTCCCCTGCTCCCTGTCAGGTCTCGACCCCAGTACCACGCGTCCACTCTCGCTCCAGCACCCCTCAGTCCTACATCCAAAGAGAGGCAGTGGCTGAGAGAGAAGGAGCAGAGTCTCCACTCTTTCAGTCTAGATGCTCCTCACCCTTAAATCTGCTGCAGCTGGAGGAGTTGCCAAGCAACCGGTTTGAGGTGGCGTCAGGACAACAGACCACATCTCCTATGGTGGTACAAGGGGGTGGAGCAGTAGGACAGGCCTCCTCCAATCAGAGAGGTTCAGCGGTGGATTCAAAAGAGCATGAAAATGTAAGAAAATGACTGTTGTATTCATTTACCTGCTGATTATTTAAAAGGATGTTAGAGATTTTATGTTTCAGTGTTCGCTATCAAACTTTCACAACAGTCAATATTTGATATTTACACTGATATTTAGTAGCAACTAATTATGTTGTTTTAATGTTCTTTACAGGGTGAAACAAATGAGTCCAATCAAGACGCTATGTCCACCTCCAGTGATCTGCTAGACCTGCTGTTACAGGAGGACCCTCGCTCAGGCACTGGTTCAGCCGCCTCAGGCTCTGGGTTATCAGGGACAGGCTCCTCTGGGTCGGGCACAGGGTCTTCTGGATCAGGGTCCAATAGCTGCAGCTCTTCAGGAAGTGCAACTAGTAAGTGCTTAATAATGGCAATAAATTTATTTGAGAAATGTATTAATAAAGTTATAAATGGATACATTTTAGGAAATGTGGATTAGAGTGAAGAGGAACCAAATGTAATTTAGCAATTGTTACTTGTTAAGAAGGGTTACTTGAATTAAATGACTTAATTTATTTCTTTTTTTGTTTACTTGAAAAGGAAGCAGTCAGAGCAGCCATACAAGCAAGTACTTCGGCAGCGTGGACTCATCAGAGAACAGCCACTCTCACAAGCAGACGGCAGGGAGTGATGGAGAGGCACAGTTCATCAAATGTGTCCTACAAGACCCCATCTGGCTCCTCATGGCCAACACGGATGAAAAGACTATGATGACCTACCAGCTGCCCATCCGGTTAGTCAACACTGTATAGATTTCACTGCATCAGTAGGGTTGGGAATCAAGTGCCTGTTACATTTAAAACGGATCAGTTACATTTATTTTATTTTGTATTACCTTTATTTTTACTTTACTTTTATTTTATTTTTTAATCAAGAGCCAGATCAACAATAAAACAAAACAAAATAAAGTTCTATTTAAAATATTGTAAATGGAACATTATTTAATTTTTGTTTTGATTCAGATGTTTGATTCAAGTTCTGCATTCATTCTTCTTCAAAATTACAGAAATAATCGTTAAGGAACTAGAATCATTAGGTGGAGTCAAATCATATCAAGAATTTGATTCCCATCCCTATATAACACCATTTCTGACTTATCTCAAACATATACATCACGTTATGATGCAAAATGTTTCACATCACATGCATAGAAAAAAGAGACCCATTCCATGCTAACATCCCATAAACATGCATTACTACACACCCACTATAAAAGACTGATGAAAGTTGTAATGGTTAACTGACCAAGTAAATGCGTTTTATAACAGAGACAGAGATTCTGTGTTGAAAGAGGACCGCGCTGCTCTGAGAGCCATGCAGAAACAGCAGCCTCGCTTCACTGAGGAGCAGAAGAACGAGTTGAGTCAGGTCCACCCCTGGATCCGTACTGGACGCCTGCCTCGTGCTATCAACATTTCTGTGAGTTTAAGTCTCTCAGACAATAACTCCCACAATACACACTAAACACTCAGTCCTGATTGTTTTATTTATATGTGTCTCTCAGGCATGTATGGGCTGTAGGTCCTCTCCCTCTGTCCCCTCTGCGGCCCCCTTCGATGTCGAGATCCACGAGATGGAGCTCTGCAGTGTTTTAGAGGTGACAGAAGAGGGCGCCACTGCTGAGAAACACACCCAAGCAGACACGGCCATGGCTGAGGGACAAGACGAGACCTGCAAAGACCAGGAGGTTAAGAACGATGGGACTATTATGACACCCCAAATCAATGACCAAGAAATGATGATAGAAGAACAGGAAGTGACCTCACGGATCGAGGAGGAAATGGTTGCCTCACTTACACAGATGACACACTAAAGACACGAGTCCGTGGGATCCTGATGATGACATTTGAGTACACATGAAATTATCTAATTGTATTTATTTCTATAAATAAATGCTAATTAGCCAGGAAGGCTGACAGATGATGAATGTAAAGCAGAAATGCTTTGTTGAAAGACTGTGATTACCATAAATTTTAGGTATTTTGGTTATTGCAAAGAAGTTATGATCTGTTGGCGGGAAATAAAGGTTAGCTTTAGACCACTCTGGATTTGACCTTGATATGCCAGCTGTTCAATTCCAGTTCTAGTGACCTGCAAAAACCCATTTTGTGGCATGCTAAACAACTATTTCAAATGTTGTCAAATGGGCTAAGTAAGGGCTCTTCACACCGAGGATGATATCTATAACCATAAATATAACTATAAAGCTTTAATAATCTAATTCTATAAGAAGAGGGAAGTCCACACCACTGGTATATAACACGATAATGACACAGATTAACAATATCACTTTCAGAACCATTATTTTTCCAGATGATGAACAATAAATACACCGACAGCCAATCAGAATCCATCCAACTTTAAAGAGTTTGAGCATTTAAAGTGCCAAAAAAAACATTATCATCCGTTGGTGTGGACGTTAATGTAGTTATGGTTATAGTTATCGTCATTAGTTTGAACGGACCTTTAAACTCTGTGGTGTTAAGTTGATTTAAGTGTTGTAAGATGTGCACTTGGACATGAGAACAGATTCACTGCCTTTGAGGACAGTCTTAACGGTTTCTCACCTTGTGCTTTTTGACATTTCCCAGATGTTATGGAAATGTTATTGTAATTTTTTTACAGGTGTATACAAAGTAGGATTTTTTGACCAAATTTACATACACAAAACCTTTTTTTTTTTATCATTCTGTATACTTTTTATACATTATTGGTGCGAAATTGTTAATTGTCAAAGCTTGGATGAATTGTGTGAAATGCTTTGCAGCTCCACAGAGGCTCATCGGTCTGTTACAGTTCACTTTCACCACTTCGATGGCACTACAGTAACCACGGCAACCATAAACTTTCAAAGACTATTTGTAGCTCAAGGCATCCTCTTGTAGAGTAACACTTGGCGAAGGGAAGCTCCAGAGGTCACGGCCAGAAAAAGCTGCTGCCCGTTGCTGGGTCGAAAGAGTGGAGGCTTTTAATGGTACTGTATGTGAACTGTACCATCAACGAAGAAAGGTTTTAAAAGGATAGTTCACCCAAAAATAGTCTACTTTTATGTTCCACAGAAGAAGGAAAGTCACACTAGAAAAGCATGAGGATGAGCGAATTGACAATTTATTAGTTTGGGTGAACTAAGCCTTGAAGGAATGAGTGAAAAAGTGTTGGCAATCAGTTGTATGCATTTTCCTCTTGTTTTACCTTTTCTCTGTCATGTGCTCTTCAAGTTGTCCTGAAACAGTTTGTAAGTATTTTGTGTATTTCTTTATATATGAAAAAAAATAAAATGAATATGGTTCACACTGTTGTGGTCTGCAAATATTCCACGAATCAAGGATAAAAGAGAATTATGAGAATATACAGTGTGTGTGTATGATTTAAAAGCACGCTGTATGCTTTGGACAAGGAAGAGGGAATTAAAATAAGCCGTTTTCATACCAAACCACAGGCTTTTAGTAGACAAGAATGTCCGCTGAGCTATAAAAACACATACAGAGGTTTTTCCAGTCACAAACAAAAGCCCACACGCACACAAATTACAAACACATTCAAATAAGTGTGATGCACACACACACACACAAAAACCTGATGATTATTGTACAGAGCTAAATGAAAGATATAAAAGGGAATTTTATATTAAAGGGATTTAATGACATGTTTGCTGTGCCAGTGCCCTGGCAAGAAAGTTTGGCTTGACTTACATTCTTTCCCTGCACCGCAATGTAACGACGAGCCTACCAAAAGAGAGAAAAAGATCAACAGTACATAACCACAAAGAAAACGGAACATTTCTTAAACTAGTTGTGTTTATCTGCACTTATTTGTTCTTATGTCACTTTTCAACATAATATATCTTATACATTATACAATCTTAAAGATTTTACTAGCAAGGAAAACATAATTTGCCCTTAACATACAACTTAATTAATTGCCATATCTCAACAAAACCAGACAAAGACCTGGGGAAAGTGGTAATGAAGGGTGGTTGGTGTTTTTTTTTTGGTTGTTTATAGATCCTCATTCAATTTTAAATGTCTGTCTCTCTGATTTTACAGCAATGGCATCTGAGACACAACTCTTCCCCACTTTTCCCCTCTTTCAATCCTCCTCCTGTCGTCCTCCACGCCCTTAAACTCGCCCCTGTGCTCCGTTCCCTCACTGACTCGTTCTCTGTGCCTCTTTGAGAAGAAGGATGTGGGGTGGTTTGTGCATGTGGCATTTTGGGCTTCTGATTTTGGGGTTAGGATGGGTGCATGGACAAAGCCAGACCAACTTCACAAGGTAAGTTCATGAAGGTTTGTGTGTTTCTGTACGTGCACTGCATGGCAAATTGTTAATATCTAAGCTTCTCATAAAGCAGCAGGATTGATGTTGGAAATAAAACACATAAACACAGTTCGAGGAAACATTACAATGTTACGTTTCTCTTCAACCCTCAATTAGACAGGAAACACTTAATGTCCTGAAAAGTGTTGGTCAGATTTAATTATTGTATTTTTCAAGTCAAGATAAGCTCAATTCAGGATCATTTTAAGTAATTATTATTATTATTATTATTATTATTATTATTATTAGCTGACCTTTAAATTAAACATTTAGTTAGATTCTTGTTTTTGTATTCCATTGTCAGTACAGTTACACACAATCTTGCAAGATGTTCCATTTTCACAATGTAATGCAAATTTCAGTTTCTTCTAAAATGAAGTTTTTTTGTTTTTTTTTTGTACTGATCAGAAACATGAATTTGCATCAGGGTACTTGTTATTAATAAAACTGCTTTTTGTTATTATCATCATTATTATTGTTGTCACTGTTGCTGTTGTTGTTATAGTGATTCGTTTTTTAGTAATTATATTTAGTTTAGTGATTAGTGTGCAATTACTTGGTAACCATTGAATCAAAATGTAAATTATTATATTACTTTTACGGGGAACTGGTGAGATGAATTCCTCGAATGTTATGTAGGCTAAATCACAGAACTTTTTTTTTAAGTCGCACCTTCACGCAGTTCCTCTCACATAATATTAATTTATCTAACACAAGACGTAGTCTTAACACTGTGATTCTGGGCATAGGTTTGTTTTACAGTATCAACAAAATTGTCCCAGTTGTCTTGTTGTAAAATCTTTATTATTCTGTGTTGTTCAGCTCAGGCTGTACAATGTGTATGACATGCCACAAAAACCACCACATTTGTTTCTTAGTCTTAATAATCGTTAAATTCATGCATTATTCTGTAATCAGCCAATTAAAACAGCACCTGTTTAATTAAGCGATAGCTTTGATCAGTGCTGAAAAACCAGGTCATGTGTGACACGTCTGAATGCTGTTTTTGTGTCAGAAGGCTTTATGTTTCTAAATATGCATGTGTTTGTTCAGCTCCACCTTTGTTTTCTGATATTATGTGAATTTCCTCATTCACTCCGTTCCTGATTCTGAAAATGGTCACCTATGTAAGTTTTTATTTGTTTGTTTTTTTATGTGAGTTAGAAATTGATCAAATTGTGTGAGGGAGAATAACAGTGTCAGCTTATGCATGTGACCGGATAGATTTGCTGACAGACTGACTCATAAGGAAAACCATTATAAAAAACGATATCTAAATGAGTTCAGTGGTTCTCTCTGCAACCTCACATCTGAGCACAGCTGTTCAGTTGGCTGTGGTTTGTGTTTATTTCCTACTAATATGACAGAACTTGCAGTATTAAAATATTGCAAGTACTATAAATGTGGGAACAGGATCCAGAAACAACCCACTGAAGAAAGTAAATAAAGGATTCACACATATAAAGGATTTTAATAAGCAGTGACGTTTGTGACTGGTACTATTTAAAATGGTTTATGTGTTTGTTTACGCATTTTTGTGTTCAAAAGCTAAATGAAATGTATATGTGATTTATTGCAGTTTATTGGCATATTATTAACACTACCATTTGAATGTTTTACAGTAGCTCTTTTATGACGCTTTAAGAAATTCATACTTTTATTCAGCAACACTCTAAAAAAATGCTGGTTTGTTTCAACCCAACTTTGGGTCAAATATGGACTAACCCAGGTGCTGGGTTACATTTTTAAATAAATGTATTAACCCAAAAGTTGGGTTAGTCCATATTTGACCCAAAGTTGGATTGAAACAGCCCAGCATTTTTAATCAAAAGTTACAGCAAAGACATTTATAATGTTACAAAACTTTTCTATTTAGAAATGCTGTTCTTTTGAACTATCTATCAAAGAATCCTGAAATATAATTCAAATTGTTTTTACAAAAATATTAAGTAGCACAACTTTTTTCAATATTTATAATAAGAAACATTAAAATGATTAGAATTGTACACATTTCTGAAGGGTCATGTGACACTAAAGACCAGAGTAATGGTTGCTGAAAATTCAGCTTTGCCATCACAGGAATAAATTACATTTTATAATATATCTAAATACAAAACCGTAATTTTAAATAGTTATATTTCATAATATTACAGTAGTTACTGTGTTTTTGATCAAATAAATTCAGCTTTGTTGAGCATAAAATACAAAATATAATATACAAATATTTATTATTATTAAACTGAATCAAGCTATCACTGCATTAAACATGAATCAAACATCTATCATTCTCATTTATTCCTTCCTATTCCTCCTCTATGCTCTCCAGGCCTATATTCCTGTGTGGTGGTCATTTGGTGACAGACTCAGGGTTTGTGGCTAGTGAGGGTTTCCCCTCTCATTACAAACCAAACTCCAAATGCACCTGGTACATCACAGTAAGTCCAGCACCTTCAGATTCTTTTGCTTTTCATTGCTTCAAACCTTGCATTTCCATACCGTCTCCTCTCCCATCAGGTTCCTGAAGGTCATGCTGTGATGCTCCAGTTCAGGATCTTTGATCTAGAGGCGGATCCCACCTGCCGCTACGACTACGTGGATGTCTATAATGGACACTCGTACACAGTGCAGAAACTGGGCCGCTTCTGTGGGACGTTCCGACCCGGAGCCCTCATCTCCACCTCCAACACCATGATGCTGGAGATGGCGTCTGATGGCAGCACAGGCGGAAGAGGATTTCTGGCTTATTTTAGTGGGGGGAAACCACATGTTGATGGTGGGATGGCTTTAGTTTGTCTCAGCAACATAATCCAAATGTAGTTTTTAGTGCTTGACTTAATGCTTAATATAATTAAATACAATTATATAAATGTCATTTATTCCTGTGATGGCAAAGAGCTTAATTTTTTTAGCAGCCATTACTCCAGTCTTCAGGGTCACATGGTAAATTATAGGAAACAAAAGAAATCTATAAATGATGTCTTGACTTTTAATCAATTTAATGCATCCTTGCTGAATAAAAGCATTATTTATTTAATTATTATGATTTTTTTATCTTACTGACCCCCAAATTTTGCAAAGTAGTGTAGTACTGTTTCCCCCCCCCTGTAAATATCTATCTATCTTTCTAATTCTCTTTCCACCCGCTATTCCCTACAGAGAATCAGTTCTGTGGTGGCAGACTGACGAAGCCTCAAGGTTCACTGAAGACACCGAACTGGCCAGAATCTGATTACCCAGCAGGCATCAGCTGCTCTTGGCACATATCTGTGGAGCCCAACATGGTCAGCCTGCAAAGATCAATTCACAGCTCCTTTCCTCTTGCATTTGTCTACTCGCAATCTGTTAAGTCATTAGCAACCAAGTCATCCGAGAACTAATTATATTTAGGTTTACTTGAGACGTGCTGCTATGGCATTTTGTGTATGTGGATGAATTTGAACTCTAGTGTGTGTTTATGATGACAGCATAAACAGTACATGGGAGAGTATATGAAAGACCTCATTCAGAGAAAGTGCGTAAGGTGGGACATGGAAAGAGAGAGAGTGAGAGAGCGGCATGAAAAGTGCATGAAAGAACCTTTATACCTGTTTCAAAAAATTAGCTTTTTACTTACAGAACTACATATCGGAGTGTGTATATGTGTTTGTGTGCATCTGTACATGCTCAGGTGATTGAGGTTAAGTTTGAGAAGCTGGACTTGGAATTAGACACATACTGTCGTTATGACTACGTGGTCCTGTTCAACGGGGGCGAGACCGACGACTCTCGACGTATTGGCAAATTCTGCGGAGACATGGTTCCAGAGTGAGTGCAAACACAATGCACCAGATATCATTCCAATCTATTCATGACATTTAATGAGCCCTTCAAACATTATTCTAAGGACAAGGGATTTTGTAATTTATCTACACAGGAAAAGGATGTTGTTGACTTCTGCGAGGTCAGTCGTCCTAAGGAAAGCTTAGTGAAAGAATGTGCTTCCCAATTTGAAAATACTTTCTCTTTGCACAGTTATCCGTTTCAAAAAATATGTTTATATGTCCTTTGTACTTAGGAAGGTCCATGAAGCCCTTTATTCAAGTGCTGATAATGTTGGATATTAACTTTAAAGATGCACTCTGTAATATTTCCTTCTTAAAAAGCTTTTAATCCCAAATAAATTTTGCACAAATTGCAAATAGTGATAAATTCATTTGACATACATAGATTTACATAGATTCTTTTTACATAGCAAAGAAAAAGTATTTTCTTTGTACTAAGTGTAAACAGTGTTAGATGCAGTTTATACTTACAGTGGCAGATACTATTTGCATCTCAGTATATTGTATCACATTATAAAACAGTATATAATAACATATTCTGTATATTTATAAAAATCAGTGGATACTGCCTCATTGGCACCTTACTTGTTCCTATCCCTAAAGCCCACAAATAAGGCTTAGTAACACTTAAATGTTTTAAATCATGTTCACCCAACTGAGATGCAGTCATATCAGTAGCCCCATCCCCCCAACCCCCCCAAAAATCAATTTTTTTCAACAAGGAGCATGTTACCTCAGGAAGGCCTCAGATCACAAATATTAATGGACATTTTCACTGGCATATTAAATGAATCATGGTTGACTGCTAATAATAGCACATTACCCAAAAATGATTGTTTTGCCTGATTCTGCATCCATGCCACTAGGTGTCAGTATAAGTCCAAGACAGCTGTTATAACATTAAAGGGGGTTTCCTCAATAACCAACTAGTTGATTCTTAGGAATTTGTGTGTAACTGTGCTTGTTTCAGATTCACCTAATCCCATGTAGATCCCATTTAGATTTGGGATACAACAGCCAAATATAGAAACACCTTTAAGACTGTTGTTGTAATATAAATAATGTCCAATAGAGGGATGATGCAGGGATGTAGGCCCTTAGTTAGCATCTCCCTGGTTACCTTGACAGAAAGCCAACAGGGTTTTACTATTGGCTTTTGGATTATTGCAGAAAAGGAGCTCTGTCACCAAAAGGTTTATGGTTCTTACACATTTTGTTCATCAAGATAAGGGGATAAACAAAGTACGCCACGGTTGTACAACTTCAGTGTCACCACCACTGAGCTTCCGGCAACTCTTTTAATATTTATTCAAAATCTACAGACTGGAAAGCTTGCGTTAGAATAGTTTACAAGCGCGTGAGTATAAATATAACAAGACTTTAAAACTCAACTAATAAGTAGATGAATTTACCTGTTCGCGTGATGACATTTAATGTCACCAACAATCTCTGAAGTCCCATTTAGTCACTTAATAAAACGTATTGTTGTAATAATGTTCTTTATATCTCTGTCAGTGCGGTTGTGACCAATGGAAACGAGCTGCTGGTGCACTTTGTATCAGATCTGAGTGTGACAGCTGCAGGCTTTATGGCTCACTACCGGAGTGTTCCCCGTGGCTCCCACACAGCCACTGCTACCCTGGACACAGTACACAGGCCAAGAGTCAACACTTCACCTACTAAACCCACAACTCCATCAGCAAGACCTAAGCCTACACCAAAAGCTCCCTCAAGACCACCATCCAGACCAACTCCTAAGCCAAGATCAAAACCTACACCCAAGCCCAAACCTGTCAGACCTACTCCCCCAACAAGATCTGGTAGAAGAATCACACCAAAACCTGCTGTAAAAGTGCCAGCAAAACCTACAAAGAGGCCTGCACCTAAACCCACAGTTAGACCTCAACCGAAACCAACAAGAACTACAGCAAAGCCAAAAGTAAAGCCTGTTGTCAAACCAACAACAAAGCCAAAGACCAGTCCCATCTCAAAACCTGGGAACAAAACAACAAAAGCAGGTACAAATGCTTAGGTGTATGACCGTGCAATATATCGTTTTTCTCTGTGTGCTCTAGACCAGTGTTTCTCAACCAGGGGTCCGTGGACCCCTAGTGGTCCTTGACGTAAGGCCAGGGGGTCCGTATAAAGTATGCATTTTTGTATAAATTTGGTATATTTTGACATGACATGTTCCCATGAAAGAAAAATCCAATATAGCTGATGATATGGCCAAATACTGGACAAGTCAGCTAACTTGAATTATACTTGACTGTATTTGGTCCTCACAAAGACACAAATGATACATAGATGAGTCAGTTTTGTTCTGGGGGTCCTTGAGGATGGTTCTGAATTGGACTGGGGTACGGTACGCCAAAAGGTTGAGATTCACTGCTCTAGACTACATTTATGATTTGATCTGTTTCTTCCAAGCCTCAGTGGGCAACCCACTGTGTTCCCTACCATGCAAGAGAATAGGCACCCTCGTGACCCGCTTCTGCCCCAGTCATTTTGGTGAGTTGGTTCATTTATCATCTCTTTCATCCTGCTATTTATGTCTGCTTCATTCTCCCCTAATTGCATGTCACAGACATGGGCCCCAGGGGACTCATAGGAAGACAGTTATTTTTAAGCTTTTAGTGCAGACAGCTGTTCGCACAGTAATGATGGTGTAATAATGGATCTTAGAACAGTGCTTACAGCAAACAGCTAATGTAACGGTCAGGCCTCAAAACTATAATAATAATTGTTATTATTTATTATTATTAATTACCTGAATAATTATTACATTATTAAAGCAATAAAACATTAAATATTTAATTATTAAATATTAACTGCTACAGGGTAACACTTCATAATAACTTTCATTTATAAATCATTAACAAACATTATATAATGCTTAACAGATCATTAGTTAATATGTATTCACATAGCTATAAATATGATTATGTTCTTGTTAATGTTTACTAATGAACTTCCTAAACATTACCTAATGATTAACATATGATTATTTAATGTAAATTGAAATGCTTACAAATGTCAGTAAACTTTCAGTTCATATGATCTTCATTTGTTGGTCTTTGTTTGTTGTGTAGACCTCTAGTTACACATCTTAACAAATAATCTATTAATTATTTGTTCATGTTTTTGCAGTACGCAATCTAAAGTGGAAACTCTTCATCATTTGCAAATGTTTATAAATGTTTACTAATCATTAATACCTTTATGAACAGTCATCTCAATGGCAAAAAGTGTGCCGAAAGACCTGAATTTACCCTATTCACACATCTTTACTAATCATTTATTAATAATTTGTTCATGTTTTTGCAGTAGCCAATCTAAAGTTGAAACTATTCATCATTTGTAAATGTTTATAAACAATTACTAATCATTTAGGATCTTTATGGGCATTGGACTTTTAGCTAATGTAACAAGGTTTGTGTAAAGGGTGGCTGGTTGAGTTTAGCTAAATGCATGCTAAAGACATAACGGATTGTAATTTTGGTGATTTGGTACATTGTAAAATGTTTTTATTGCCTCAACACTCACATTAGTATACTACTCGCAAATCTATACTCCTGTCTTCAGCATCACATGATCCTTCAGAAATCATTCTAATATGCTGATTTGGTCCTCAAGAAATATTGCTTATTAATATCAGTGTTGAAAAAGTTGTGCTGCTTAATATTTTTGTGAAAACCATGATACAGGATTCTTTGATGAATAAAAAGTAAAAAAAATAATAATAATGTGTCACTTTTGATCAATTTAATGCATCCTTGCTGAATAAAACTATCAATTTCTCGTAAAAAAACGTAACTTTTGAATGCTACTGTCATTTTATTACACTACCCTTGGCTACAACCACACTCTGTAAAAACAATCATGTCATGACATGTATGTTTTGAAAATAGGATGCAAAGAGCCACAGAGGATTTCCTCCTTGAACAAAGTCTTCCATGGCAATAGAAAACAAACAGCTGTGTGTCTCCATCAAGTGGACACATCTAGAATGAGGTGTTGTGTTTTTATTATCTGCAGTGTGCTGGAAAAGAGCTTTTCACATCAAAGGTGTCTGTCCGTGTTTTCTTGAAACGTGGGACAAAACAGGTCCAGCAAGGCTAACTGCTATTAGCTTTAAAAAATAAAAATATTTTTAATTTTAAATGTCATGAGGGATTAATAATATAATGTATTTAACACAATTATCACCTTCAATTTAATTTTCTCATTATTATACCAAATCTGTGTTTCTTAATGTCCTCTCACTACGTCTAAAACAGTGTGTCCACAGAGAAGGGTTCAATCATTCATATGCAATAAAATGGATAAAAATGTTTTTTTAATGATGAAAAAGAGCTTGTTTTATCAAAAGCAACACTTAATAATATCTCCTATCAAAGCAAGGTTGTTTTTTTAATGACACATGCATGTTTCATAAGATTTTAAAGTTGCGTCCCCACTTTTTGTCAACACCGTCAGACATTCAATAAAATGTAATAAAATCAGGGAATATCAGGGGCAGCTGTCACTCTAAAGGACCCCCTTACCACAGTTCACCTCTGCAGAGTACATCGGTGTCAGGCCTCCGTCAGATGTGTCAACTCCGTCAGTTCTGTCACCTCCGTCAGTTGAATATTTTGATAATATTTCATTATGATATTTTATATTTGTTGTGGAATTTTTGGTCATATGTGAAAGTGCAATCTGTCTGCTAACACGGGAATGTGTTTTGAAATGTTAAAAACATCTTGAATGCTGTTAAAGATAAAGCTGAAATTATATTACACAGTCCAAGGTAAAAAAAGCACATTTTGTTAAAAAAGAGAAAAGTTGGGAGGTTGTATCAAAGCATAGCTCAGTAGCTTAGTACATATAAGATACATAAATGTAGTTTCATTTGTCTGAGTACAAGGCTTTATTTTTTCAATTTTGCACACTGTTTTGTCCCACTTCTCAAGAATGACTAGATGGCCAGCAGACATACAGATAGGTAGAGAGGGGGCAGGCTGTTTTGTGACATAAAACATCGCAGCTGCTCCTGTTTCTCAGCATTAGTCAATCGCTCACACCATAGGCGGAGAGTGAACCAACTCCAGGGTGGCTAAAAGCAGCCAAATGGATCAAAGGATTTCTCAGCTTAACATTTAACTCAAAGCACATATTTTTGTGATTTCAACATGTATCTTATACACATAAAAGTTTTTTTTTAAACCACACACATATACATATTCTTTTCAAAAGAAACAGACAGCCCTGATTTACCATTTAAATTTATTGATCTCTAGTTTTCATCTTTTGATACAGATTGAAATAGAAGCAGTACAATAACTCTTACATATTAATATCCACTAAATTGAAGTATTCTAGTTTCATGTTCAAGCCTATATCTTAATAAATAAGATATATCAGCATGATCTACTTAAGTAAACCATGATGATAAACTCACACCACAGCAGTGGGCATCCAGCATAGTTTCCAGTGCATTAAGACTACAATCTGTCTTCTCCCCTGAGAACTACAACTGTTCTAGACAAACTGTTCTAGAACAAGAATTTCTAATCAAGCTGTTTTAAACACAGTTTTTGAATATTCATATTTTGGTGTTTTCTCCAGAGCGAATATATTTGATACAGATTTAGTCTCTTGTACATTTGATCTGTAGAGTATAACTATATATCTTAATGCAGGTGTGAGGTGTTAAGCCGAGCACAAAGTCGGCAGACCTGCATGATGGCAAACAATGCTCTGTCAAAATGGCTGAAACCTTCCAATTTTGTAGACAACCCAGCTCAATATATTAAAACAGGATAAAAATGTACATTGGGTCCCTGTCAAGAACACGGACTAGCGCAGACACATTAAGTCATTTATGTGCAAATCATATATTCTGTCTAGATTTAAATACTACGCTTGTGCAATGCAGCAAATTCTTTATCTCATTATATGATACAATAGTATTAAGTATGAGGCTTTCAAAACTCAAGTTATTAATGAATAATGAATGAATCCCTGTGAATGATGAAATATATAAAACACAAAAAAAAAAAATAAATAAAAAACTATGTCCTCACACCTATTGCAACTATTCGGCCTGCCTGACTTTGAAATTGGAGGACAGAACAACAGAGACATAACATCTTTTTTGACAGCCACGACATCTGATTCATCAATGACCTCAATTTGTCATTCACAGCAACAGAAAGACATTCACAAAGAAATTCACATATATTGTTAAACCACACCAATCTCTCAGACTAAATAACCTGTATATTTTGTCAACAGGTGTTTCACTAAAGCACTTTTCACACTCTCTTATAAGAGCACCACTTTACTGAAAGTATCTGATTGGATGAATGAAAATTCAACTATCCAGCAGAAAGACCAGTGACAACTCAAGCTGTATGCAGTACAACAAAGCAGAATACAGCCAACTAGTAGCACTTTCTATAAGTTATTAATAATTATGATTTACCAGACATTTTTGTGTAGCCCAATGACTACAGTTAACCTGTGTTTTTCAAAACTGGCCTTTACAAGTAAAAACAGTACTTGCTGATATGTTTTTCAACAATGATATGGCTTTGTTTTTCTCCTTTCAGTCTTACCACCAAAGCCTTCAAATGTCAAGTCATAGAGAAGCGTATACAATCAATAACAATGCATAGTTACAGTAGATTAAAATATAGCGCTTCAACTGAAATCTACAGTTACTAGCTATGCTGCCACACACCTTAATTAAGGTCTATAATTAATAGTAATGACAGTATAGAGTGAAATGTAATGTTTATTAAAAATTGTGAAGGGTGTAGTTTAGCACTGCAGTGATGTAAACTCCACCCCTCTCATTTCCCTTTGCTTCAAACACTTTGGCTGAAACTATTTGTGTTTGTCTGCACTTCCTGTTTAAAGGGTTTGTTAAAAAGAGGGAGGAAATGTGAGTGGGCGGATGAGAGAAAAAGCCAGACAGTGACAGATAGACTGAGAAAGAGAATTCCAATAATGAAGAGTGTTACAATATAAGGTGTCCTAGTAAAAGCTCAATAATGCATCATGCGTCATGCACCCCTCTCGAGTGAAACTTATGAGAACTTTCTGGAAAGTTTGTTCAACAATACAGCCCCTGGGGAGCAAACGTGGCAGAGTTAGCTTGCTGATTACAGAGTAGCAATGACTGACCACCCGACAGCAAAAAAACAGCCTCCCTCCAAAGTCCTTACAATGAACCCTACTAAAACATTCACAGTTTTTGTCAATAAATGCCTACTGTGCACTTTTTTCTGTGACCATATCAAACTTAAAGGTGCAATAGGTGATTGTCTTCAGAAACAATTTTTGTTATGCTGGTTGAAAGTCTCTTCACATTCCAATAGCAATTATTAGAAGTGAGCTACGTGCATGAACTGTGTTCCGATCGATATGATCCCTACACAGTGTTCATTGTTCCCTACTCCCTGAGCAGGGGAAATCCGTTGAAGTTTGCTTCACTTCAGAACATGGGCTGGAATTGGGAACCTGATGTAGCCTATTGTAGTAATGTTGTCTCTGGTCTGTGAGTGTAAATGCGTTCAGGGGGCGTGGCTTTGGACGGCGATTGCAGGGAGGGTGGGACGTTCGCTTTCAGTGCTATCAGGCTAAAGTTAGCATTTTCCAAGATCTCCTATTGTACCTTTAAAGGGACAGTTCACCCAACATGAAAATTATGTCATCATTTACATACCATTTCATTACAAATCTTTCTTTCTTCTGTGGAACGCAAAAGGCTTAAAATCTGATCTCTTCATCATACAAAGTGAAGAAGACTTGGAATATACCAGTGTAGTCATATGGATTAATTTCATGTTACCTTTATGTCCTTCTTAGTGCTTGAAACTTCTGGGTCCTATTCATAAAAATTCAAATATCTTGTGCTTTGCAAAAGAAAGAAAGCCAGATGAATTTTGAAAAAACGTGAGGGTCAGTAAATAATGACAATTATCATTTTTGGGTGGCCGATCCTTTTTAAAGTGATACTGCAGAAATCATTCAAACATTGTTCACAAAGTAAAATCCAAAACAAGAATTTTAAACCTGACCAGCAGTCAGTGCCTCCTATTGTCCCTTTAGCTTTTTTTGCTCTGGTCCGTAGATCTGATATGCCTGCCAACCAAACCAGGCTATGATGCACGCTATGCACCCCTGCAGGAGCACCATGACCCCATAGGTGGACCAGAGTGTTGGTCCAGGAAGCCTAGGTGGCGTTACAGATGTTAGTACCAAAGTTGGATTGAGAAGCAGGGCCCACATCTCCACTTTGATCATTTGCAGCTCATCCAGGATCGACAGGAACGTGCAGCAATGGAACCACTGATGGCTGTGACCCCAAATATCAAAATTTCCTGGAGAAAAACGTTCTGGGATCTTACTGATATTGAAGATGGCAGATACCACCAGCCAAAAGCAATGGCGGTAGAAGAAGGTAGCCAAGGTGGAGAACAGATGAGGGGAGGAGGATGACGGAGAGCTCGCGGAGGGACTCAGGAGACGGTAGAAGACAGGAGCGGAGGAGATGAAAAACGGAAGGAGGAAGACAAGGGTGCGGACAGCATAGCGGTACTTCCGCCAGCACTGTCTGGTGTTACAGCAGGTGATGACGCATATGATAGCGATCAGACAGGAGGATGGGATGTAGAGGCTTTCAAAGAACAGTTGGACCTGAGTAGGAGAAGATGCAGAGGGCCAAGACTCTACATCAGCGTTCAAGCTCTTCCTTCGAGTAGAGTTCTTTCCCTCAAATCCAATCTCTGGTATTCCTGCTTGAGGATGGATATAGTAGAAATACGCCAGTGAGGAACCCACCGTATACGCACTAATAGTCCCATAGTCCACAAAGAAACAGATTTCACGAATGATGAGTGACATGGAGTTGAGGAGATGAGCCAGACTGCTGCCTAGCAGCAGGTACAACACCCCCAAGAAGTAGTTCCAGAAAGGGTAGAAAAAAGGATTGCTAGGTTCAGGCGCTCCTTCCCACGTGAAAACCTCCAGAAAGTGAAAGGTGAACACGAAGATGGGGAGGAAGTGTGTCCAGAAGTTTCCGGTCTCATTGGTGGGACGAAATGCAGAGACTAGGCACTGCCGTAGACTGTAATTGGGAAAACGATAACCAGACAGAATGAAGTTCTCAGTCACTCTTGGTGGAACGTCAGTGTAACGTAGTAATGGAAGTGACCACATGACTGGACCGAAAGATAAATTCACTGATTAGCAATAAAAATATCTCCTGAGTTTAGAATCATTGTTGAATTAGATTAATTGAACTGATAACATGTATAGCTAGCACTACGATGTTGTAGGTAGTCGTTATGTCGTAGTATTGCTTAGAGAAGGCTAGACTATCAAACTCTATGGCATCACAGAGACATAACGGTCATTTTAATAATCCTTTAGAAGCTTTTATGGAGTTCATGTGCAGATTTCAGCTGGCAAAGGCAAATCCCATGGCTCAATACAAATCCCAACAACATGTGCTGAAATGACTGTGGTTTTATCTGAAATAAATAATCCTGCTGTTGCAAGTGCAAAGGTCAATGGCTCCAGGGTCTCTTTTTTCCGTTAGCTCAAGTCTTTAGAGTTATCGGCATGGTAGATTCGTCTTAAAACAATTACGATTATTTAAAAATAAATAAATAAATAAATAAATAAATAAGCAATCGCAGAGGATCCTTCTCGATAGGCTACACCGTGAGGTTCATGTCACCTGAGGTCCACACGACTTCGGTCACACATGAGCAAACTGAGCGTTTTTCAGTGCGGAAGGTCTCTTTTGCTTCTCACTGCGGCTGCATCTCTCCTGCATTAAAGCTTTTGAAAGTAGGTCATGTGGGACACCATCGGGCACCGACCGGTCTCTGAAAACGAGCGTCACCCCTCAGTGTATTATTCATGCAACGCCGTGCATAATTCATCGGCCAGATTATCGCATGCTGTCTCATATGAAGATGCACTGCTGCCGATTAGTTGATGATCTCGAAAACAGCCGTTTCATGCAGTCTCACAGCGGCGTTTTACCTCAGAAAAGGGAACAGAGAACATTTCTCACGATTCAGCTGTCTGTAGCGGCTAATTCCTCTATTTCCGCCCATGTTAAATGCAGTTGTGCTGGTTTAAGCGTGTCTTCGCTCGACATTCGCATTGCGGTGCTGTGCTTTTTCCAGGAAGGAGATTCGTTTCTGCTGGACAGCACTTCTAAATAAACAGTCAACCGGCGTTCAGTCCTTTTATCAATAGATAATAGATTGCCCTTGACTTTTTGCTTAAATGCCGGCTGTGAGGTGCTGTCGGACTGTCTGTCGCTCTCTCGTCCGGCCGTTATTAATCAGGATAAAAGCGTCCGTGTTTCCAGCTCCGGCAAAGCAGCGCAGCTCTCTAACGTGATGTGTGTTTTGCGGTCTTCAGAAGTGTACAACAAATTCTCTCTCTCTCTCTCTCTCCTCACAGACACTTATGTATCTCTATCTCCCCCCCACGTGCTAAGCAAAACATAGGCTACGGCATTTATACAGACTACTGAAATAACTGATATCAATAGATTGTCACAGGCCTTGTTTTACTGCAAAGTTAATATAATTTACAGTATATGTCAAATGACAGTTTTGTATTTTAGGGAAAGCTGTTTGTTTTAAACTTTAAACATTTTGCCCTATGGGCAAGCTGTTTTCTAGCTAGCTAACAAGACAAGGTTGTGCTACATTTAAACTTCTTCATATTTTGTATAAATATGATACATTGTAGTCAACTGTAAATTGATATACATCTAAGTACTACAGAAAAACTGTTGCTAGATGCTTTGTGTGTTTTAAAGTGGCTCAGATGGAAAACTGGGATTGTGCTTTTTTTTTGTTTACACTTGCAACAATATCCTTTCTGTGTCTCGTGAGCAAAAAAAGATTTGTTACAGTGTACATGCAGCCTTATTTACACAATACAGTGATCGCTGAAGTTTCTCACTGCCTTTCAAAAAAACTCTAATGTACCATATCATGTACTGTGTATACTAATACTAATGTACTTATATAAAAAGAGTGTTTTTAAAAACCACCTTGTATGATTTAAATACGAGCAATACCTCTCTTCTGCTTCTTCAATAGACAGGAGAGTAGAAGGAGAGGGGGAACAGAATTGGATCTCAAGTCATAATTCAAACACGTTATGAACTCAATTTATTTGAGCTTACTAGCAATAAAACACAATTTGAATCACCCAATACACATACTTCTAGGCAGTCTGAATTCTTCATAATGACACCATAACATTTCATGAAACCATTCTGTCGCAGCTAACAGCACAGACTGTTAACCTGTTAGCTTCTCTGTTCAATTACTGTATGCACAACACAAACCCATCTGAACTCCTGAGTCCTCCAGCATAAAGCGGTCTATAGTGTAGGCTAACCATGACAGGTGGTCCTATGATGGGTAGTTGAGTTGAGAGAATAGTGCTACCATAGAGAATATTTTTTTTACACAGGCCAGCTGTTGGGTCAGCTGGCAGACTGGGCAGCAAGTGTCTGGTTGTGCTGATTTTGGATTATTTCTAAAGCATGTTGTGATGGGACAGTATTTGTCATTTGTCAGTGGTTACTTACAGTCTAATAATCATCCTCTCATATCATAAACATGACTTTTGAAAAAGTAGCAGTAGTAGTAGTATTTTTTTTTTTAATGAACTACTCTTCTATATTTTAAGCCTTTTTCATGTGCTTGAGCACCTCTAAGGATCATATTTTATTTAGACATTTTAATAAAATATTTAACATGATTTCCTGTCATTTAAATATGAATAGGTCAGCTGGCTTTGTGTGGGCATACTGTAGTTCCTATACATACAGTTTTTAATACATGGCATTCAGAATACTGCCGTTTATCAAAAAAATGCCATTAGGGCTGTCACGATATCAGATTTTTCACTACACGATTATCGTGACCACAAAAATTCACGATAACGATATATCATAATATAGAAATCTTGAAGAATAAATACATAAATAAATAAACTATGCTCACAGTCAAATTCATCTTTATTTTTTTTCATTTTTTGACCAATGAATCACACCATTGCATACAAAAAGAACAATTGCACTAAACAGAAGAGACTATAATGCTAACTTTTTAGTTTACTACAGCATCAAAGTACATTTTATGAGAATAACAACATATTTACTCCAAACGAGTGTTTTAAATAACTTCCTTCTGTGAACTGATTCTTATCACAGAATTAGGCAGAAATTATATTATTTTATAGTATTATACAGCGATTATCCTATAAATACATATCCTTATTAAAATACCTGAGATGGCTTGAATAACACAGATAAACCATATACTGTTGCAATCATGTGTTGACTGTCTTAATGTTTCATGTTTCATCATATAAAACATTTCTTTCTGCATTTTACTCATCTACAGCAATAGCCGGATGATACAGGGAATTCCTGGAACGTCATAAGTTCTATTACTCCTATAAGTCTTACTTGTGGACTTTCTGTGCAAGGGCGTCGGGTATGAATGAAACAAATGACATGTGAGAGTTTAGCGTTCCATAATGGCGATGGCGCTGCATTATTATGTGTCCTATGTGTACTATTCATTTTTAAATATCATCAATACCGGTATATCACGACACCCCTAGATGTGTGAACCCATGTGTATATATGCTTATTTGCATCAGCAAGAAATATTACTGCTGTATTTTTTCTTTTCACGGTGATCTTTGGGTGGTTAGGGGGTGAGCTTTGCTGTGTGGCAGCTGCTCGATTATTGACTGGCTGCTGTGTATTTGGTGGCCACCGGCCAGAGGATTAGCCAGGGAAGGTCTCTGTGGGTACTGAAGTATACTAGTTTATAGATGAGATGGAAGATGAATTCAGTACCTATGGAGGTAAAATGGGAGTAGGTGGGAGAAGATCAGATGTGTCGCCATAGTTATCAGATGAAAACCACAGACTTCACCCTTTCAGCAAAGTACATGCTTCACATACAGTACAGAACAAACCAAAACTAAGATCAAATTCGAGACCCCCAGCGCTCTAATACCTCAAACAAGTTGAGACTGGTTCTCATCTGCAAGATTCAAGTTGTCAGGTATTTGAAGGCATGTTTATTTAGGAGTTTTAGCATTTAAATATTACAGATTCATCCATTTGCTGTATCTGTGGCAGTATGTAAAACATATTTCACAAAAAAACTGAAAATGTCTTCACAAATTAATGCTATGGTGAGGATTTATACGTTAAATCCTGTATCAGTGTCATGACAGATACAGTCCTTGAGAGGACATTGGAAAGGGTTAATAGGATAAGAACTGCCCCCTGTGTGTGAGTGACTACACCAACAACATACTGTATGATAAAGGCAAATGCACTGTTAAATATTGCTAAGACATAAGATAACAAACAGATGGATGGCCGAATGCACATGAATTTCTGAAGAGGAAGAACAGATGTGCATTTGTGTTACCTGATGCCTGGAGGGCGCTGATCCACGTGACATGCGAGGGATCGTCGGTCTGAATCCTGCAGAGGTACATGACGACACAGCTTTTCAATAGTCTTTACAACATGCTTTGTGAGTGATGCATTGTGGTTTTCGGCCCATTCAAAAAGATCATGCAGGTCATGCATGCATTCACAAACAAAAAAGTTTTTTTCTTTCCCAATTTGAAACAAAACATTAAAAGCTGTTGAATTGAATACACACACTCTGACATCCCATATCCAGATACATACTCACCAATGATCAGGTCTGGTTCTGGACCCTGGTGCATGTAAAAAAAAAAAATGTTTCTTCCCTGCTGGCACTATAGTTAAGATTTCCATTGGCCCTGCCAAATGTTTTCTGGCCCAAATAGAACAAATATTTTTAGCAAGATTAATGTTAACCTGTTTTAACAAAAAGTTATAATGTAATTCAGACAGTATTTACTATAATATATAGTGTGCCAAAATATTTGTTTTGAATTTTTATCTTATTATGAATGATGCTTTCAAGACCATCACAAGACATGCTTGCAGTTTTGACAAAACTATCTTAGTCAAGTAGTTATCAAAGAAAACCGAATATTTACGTAAGACAAAAAAAAACAAACATACATGATCATCAAATGTAAGATGTAAAAAAACAGCACTGACCTTACAGGGCAAGTGTCATTTCTGTCAGCAAAAGTTCAAAGGTCACCAGAGGGAGAATGATGGATATCTATTAGGAAGATAATGGTGTAAACAGGATCTTAAAATCTAAAGTCATCCTTTGTTTTAAAAGCCAGATAACACAATATACAAAGCAGGGAAATTAGGAAATGATGAAATGAGAGGTCAAAGTATATTCTAATCACCTGTTTTAACACATGCTGTTCCTGAGCTAATCACAGTTTCCAAAAGGTGCAACCAGTGCTTAATCAGGACAAAGAGGTTGATAAAGTAGAGGAGTATAAATACCTTGGAACCACTTTTGATACAACCTTAAAATTTCAGCAGAATACAGAGGCAATTATCAAGAAGGTTCACCAAAGAATGTTTACCCTGAGGAAATTGAACTCTTTCTGTGTACAAATATCTATATTGAGTGCATTGAGCTTTTCATTCCTATGCTGGTTTCCATCTCTTTCTATAAAGAATAAAAATCACCTCCAAACTATAGTTAGGACTTGCTCAAAAATTACTAGTGTGCCACTGCGGAGCCTAACTGAATTTTATGAGCAGCAAGTGATAAGGAAAGCTTGGAGTATCATGACTGATGACACGCACCCTTACACATGCACTTTGACATAATGCCTTCTGGCAGACGGTATTAAGTATTAAGTGTTTGACCAATCAATTTAAGTTTACCTTTGTACCAGAAGCCATTCATATTTGTAATTTGAATTTTATTAAGGACTCTTAATGTGTCTGTATTATTTATAGATTTCATAAGTGGTTTAATTTACTTTGAAGCATGTTGTATTGTTGTAATTTGTAATTATGTGAAAGTGTCTTATTGATGTTTCTTCTGTGATTCAATTCTTGTGTTTTTATGTTTATTTGGGAAGAAGTTTGTGATGTGCTGCCCATGCCCTACTGCAATTGCCCCCTGTGGGATTAATAAAGTACACATCAGGAGTCACCCAAAAATGGATTATTGCTGGCAACGTGCAATAAGGAACACTTGGCACTTACTACACCTCCTCAATGCTGTTATAAGTTCATCCCAGCGTTCTTTCCAATTAAATTCGGCTACAGACAGGTACAACCGACAGAGCACCAGGGAATAAACCCCCTCTGAGCTTACACCTACTTCAGCTTGAACTGTTCCTTCACGTCCTGTTTCTAATTTTGTTAGCACCCTGTGTACTTTCTCAAACCCTGGACACTTCACGTTCATTGTTTATTACATATTGTGAAATAAATGCTGAGCTCACTGTATCAGTTTTCAATGACCACCACTCAACATAAAATACAATAATCTCCCAAAAACATGCTAGGAAAAAATAAATAAATAAATATGTTTTTGTGTGTGTGTGTGTGTACACATTTTTGAGCTATGATCACTCTGGGTTTTTAGCAATTCAGTTTTCGAATTAGGAGTAAAATAGGGTCTGTAATAAGAATTACCTAAATAGACTTTCACTTTTTGTTCTACAACATAAAATACAGTCATACTTGTCAACGATTTTTTTTAAACGTAAAACGCCAACCTCATATGTCCTCCGCCCGGAGCTGCTTCCGTGTACAACAGTGAGCGCAATCTATATTAAATTGATTATTACGTATGGTTATTTTTCTTACAAAAATGCATCGATTCGCTACAGGAGGCCTTTGTTCACCCCCCAGGGCCGTGTGAGACACTTTGTTTTTTATGGATGGGCGCTTTTTATTTCACTTCTTTTGGACTGATGCACTGCAACAAATTGACTGCAATGATAGAGCTTGGAATAGCCAAGACAATTTTTAATATAACTCCGACTGGATTCGTCTGAAAGAAGAAAGTCATATACACCTAGGATGCCTCGGGGGTGAGTAAAACACAGCCTAATTTTCATTTTTGGGTGAACTAACCCTTTAAGCTGTTAACCTTAAGTTTCAAAAGTTGTTAAAGGGGTCATATGATGCGATTTCAAGTTTTCCTTTCTCTTTGGAGTGTTACAAGCTGTTCATGCATAGATAAGATCTCTAAAGTTGCAAAGACTAAAGTCTCAAACCCAAAGAGATATTCTTTATAAAAGTTAAGACTCGTCCACGCCCTCCTAAAACGCCTCGTTTAAACACGCCCCCACATATCTACGTCACTGTGTGGGAAGATTTGCATAACACCGCCCAAATGTTCACGCAAAGAAAGAAAGCGTAACTTTGATTCTCGCTGTAGTATTGTTG